AATTTTTTGTATTTGCAATTTAGGTGAAACCTCGCAGAATTTTTTAATTTTTGTACAAAGTTTGATCAAAACCTGAGATCTACCATATTTTTTTCCAGATTCTACCACACAAATTNTTAGCAACTTCAATCTTGCACTTTATTATACTAAAATTAATTTTTTTTAAATTCTAATTAAAAGGTTTGCAATTTAGGTGAAACCTGGCAGATTGTTTTTAATTTTTGTACAAAGTTTGATCAAAACCTGAGGTCTACCATATTTTTTTGAAATCTACCACATTTTTTTCCGGATTCTACCACACACATTTTTTTTCAAGCTCGATCACTGATGAGTATCTTGTTAACCGATCTATCAATTTCTCGGTACAGTTATTGCCCTTGGTACAAAAAATGGATATATTGAAAATTTTGGCAATCGGATTAAAACTATGTCCATTTCTCACATCTCGGTAAATTTGAGAAATACGCAAGCTCTGATATTTCAACAACTAAGGACGCTTATTTAATACTACAACAAAATGGGAGTGGCACAGCCCATTATATATCGGTAAGCGCTTTATCGTTTGAAATCGGGAAAAACGCACTCGCTTATCATGTACATATGGGTATTTCCAAACTAGCATTACGCGACGCTCATATGACGAAGTGTTAAAAATATGAATTGAAAAATTCAAAATTTTAAAAAGTTTTTTCTAGATTTTCTTAGCAATTAAAAAAATTACAACAGTTGGTAGTAGCAATTTAAAGATATTAGTAAACTTACGCGCTGGCGTGACGTTACAAAAAACAGAAGTGGATTTTGACTTTGACGATCACAAAATTGCAAAACTCTGCGTATTGGGCAAGACTAGGGATGGCAGCGATTAATCATTATCATTAAATTAATCGATTATTTTGTCCAATTTACGATTTAATTGTATCGTAGTCTTTTGTTTCATTAATCGATTATTAATCGATTGATTGCAAAATAATCGTAAAAATATTTTCAAGAAATATGAATTCGGTAGTTGTCTAAAATCCATCAATCGAACATTCCTTTTTGCTAGCTGCATCGACTTTACTCGCCCCGAGGTTAAAAAAAACTCATTTCAAAGATTCATTAGCAGTAACGAAGTTCTTGCGAAATGAAATAATATGCGCAGATGATCTTATGGAAACGGGTAGCGAGTCGTCCCTAGAATCCGTAGAAAATGAGTCCCTTCTTTGGGCCCCTCACATCCACAAGATGAAATGAGTTTTTATTTAAATTGTCAAGTCCTAGAAACAAAGCGGAATATTATAGACTCCAGGGAGAAAATGAAAACCGTTTACCTAAAACTTTACGGACTGTCATAAAAAAAAGCTGGTGGTACAGCTACTGAGAAACGCAACCGCTAGGCAACAAAACGCTTATCAAAACTTTTTTTTGCAAACTTGGTTAAATGATAAATAATTATCGCCGCTAAATAAGCATGTTTTATTAGATTTAAAGCTAATTAACAAGAGAAAGAGATATTTTTTACAGGGACCGTAACCGTTATGATTTTTATAATAAAAATCAAAATTTAATCGTTATGTTGTGATTTTTATTTTTTCGATCATTTTTAATCGTTATTTTATGATTTTTATCTTTTCGATCATTTTTAATCGTTACTTTATGATTTTTATTTTTTCGATCACTTTTAATCGTTAATGTGTAAGCCGAATGTGCACAGATTTGATTTAAAAAACAGTTTAACAAGGCATGCATATGTACACTAGGGTGGTCCAAATAGTAAAGTCAGAATTGTAATGCTCTCACCCCCTAGGATTGTTCTATATTGGAAAAAGTATACCCCTTATACCTTTAATGAGCATGAAATGGTATTATAACTTTGGTCCGATGTTTGTAAGTACCACAATTAGAAGAGATGGACCCATTGAAATGTACACTTTAATGATCAGAACGTCGAGCTTCGTCGATTTAGCCATTTCCGTCTGTCCGTCTGTTTGTATGCAATCTGGTGGGTGTATTTTTATAATGCACTAATCATTTGTCGGAAACCGGAATAATCGGACCACTATAACATGTAGCTCCCATACAACTGATTCTCCAGATATGAGATTTTTCGCTATAACTCCTCGATTTAAGCAGTTAGGAACATGAAATTTTGCAATACTTCCGCCCATTTACAACAGAATACTTACAGTGAAAATTACAAAGATCGGGTTACCATAATCTATAGCTCGCATACAACTGATTGTTCAGATATAAGATTTTGCGTTATAACTCCTCCATTTATGTAGATTGGAACATGAAATTTTGCACTGTTGTCACTCATTATCAAAATAATACTTACAGTTAAAATGGCGAAGATCGAGTGGCTATAACATATAGCCTCCATATAACTGATTGTTCAGATATGACATTTTTTGTTATAACTTCTCCATTTATGCAGCTAGAAACATGAAATTTCGCAATATTTTCACTCATTATCAACAGAAAATTTACAGTAAAATGAACCAAGATTGGGTCACTATAACATATTTTTTGTCTCCATACAACTGATTGTTCAGATATGGGGTTTTACTGTGAAACTCCTTTGTATGGACAGCTAAAACCGATAAATTTACACAGTCTACTGAGAAAATCGTCAAAATCTATGCTGTTTAAGCTTTAACTCCTATACCACTGATTGTTCAGATACCAGTTTTTGCGATATATCTCCTTTATGTAGGAAGCTAAACCCATTAAATTGTGTTACCGGTTTACATAACGATCAAACAGCAGTCAAAATCACATAGATTGGTGCTATATAAGGTATATGTTCCATTCCTCTGATTGTTTAGATATGATTTTGTATATATAACTGTTTTTGGACCACCCTAGTGTGCATATGCATGCCTTGTTAAACTGTTTTTTAAGTCAAATCTGTGCACATTCGGTTTACACATTAAAAAACTAAGAATAACTTCTATTTTTGATCGAAAAAATTAAAATCATAGTATAACGATTAAAAATGATCGAAAAAATAAAAATCATAAAGTAACGATTAAAAATGATCGAAAAAATAAAAATCATAAAATAACGATTGAAAATGATCGAAAAAATAAAAATCATAAAATAACGATTAAAAATGATTGAAAAAATAAAAATCAAAGAATAACGATTATTTTTGATTGAAAAACCATAAATCATAAAATAACGATTATACAATGATTTCTAAATAAAAATCCTTCATGATAACGATTATTTTCGGTCCCTGATTTTTTATGGAAAAGTGTTTGTGAATACTCACAGTAAAAAAAATATTGCAATTAACTTTTTTTGGCTTGTGATTGATGAAATGATTAACTAATCGATTATTTCATTTTTTTGCCATCCCTAGGAAAAACTATTTATATAAAAGCTGTTGTAGTAATATTGGAAATGTTTAAGGTTAGTTTTCCAAGTTTTGAAATGTATTTATAAATCTTTTCTGCTTTATGCTTTATCAGCTGAATTATCTGACGTGATGTTACCTGGCGTTAGGTTACTAAAATTTCCATTGAAAAAGTTTTTTAATATTGTTCTTGAAAGAAATTTTTAACGGAAAGAAAACATTCATTTTATGTGGCACGTACTTTTTATTTTGACATCAGCGCCTGCAGCAGTTTAATTTTTTGTAATGCCAAATGTGAAACAAATCAGAGCATAAATACGACCCTGGTGCCCCCTAACGAGACCATTTTTGGCAAAAACTTTTCTGGTTGCATAACCAGTATATATTATAACAAGTAATTTTTAGCAAAAAAAAACGACTTCAATTCTCATATATATATATATATATATATATATATATATATATATATATATATATATATATATACATATATATTTACTAATCTGGTTTAGATCCGATCATTGGATCATGATCTAAACCAGATCAGTATGGGACCACCTCTGAGACACTAGGTTTCCGATGCAAAAAGAGTTATCGAAATCATAAAAAAAATATTCCGGCGAATTGAGTCGGTTAAACATCCGACTTTGCACATCGATGACGCGGGTTCGATCCCAGCTGAAGTCTAGAAAAAAGAAGTCTGATAAGGAGATGTGGTGATCTCCGAAATAGCTGCTATAACTTCTACCGCTTAGGGCCGGTTACTCAATGTCTGGTTAACACTAATCTCCGGTTAAACGTCGGTAACGATCCTAGCTTAGAATCCGATGACAATACAATAGTTGCGTTCCCTAACTCGCAAGAAGTTGTAAGAATTTACAGGAATTTACCAGAAAACGTTCTCGTACTCGGTTCTCTGGCTTCTTTTGCATTTTGACAGTTTTACAGGTTTTAGCCCAGGAAAGTTGGGGAACGCATCTAATATGAAAGATAAATCAATCCGCTAGGTGGCGCAGGAGTGGATATATTTGTAAACCTCGCATTTATAGTCCGATTTTTTCATATTGGAAATGTAAATTACCTACATGGAAGGAAATAACTGCACAAAAAGTTTAGCCGGTGATCGATATATTTCGAAATCCAGAATTTGTGGTCTGATTTAGTTTATATTTAAAATATATATTACTTACATGAACAGGAATATCTCCACACAAAATTTTTGCGATAGGTGGCGCAGGAGTCGAAATATGTGGAAATCCCATATTTATGGTCCAATTTGTTTCATATTTATAAAGCTAGTTTTAGAAATATTTGTTTACTGTTAACTTATTTTTAGTTTTTAGAAACTAGTGATCCTCTCCCTATAGGTATATTTAACTTAAGAAAAAAAACATATGCCTAATGTACAAAATGTTTTATCGCAATATAATGCTCTCGACAAAATTACGTATAAATAAGAATGTAAAGCAAAGCGTTAATTCTGCTCACATGGCCTCTTTTCCAGTTTATTTACTTTTATGAATTATATTTTTGGACTTGCTTTCTTATCAGCGTTTGCTATAGCCCGAAAATATGCAACTCTTCTGGTACAAAAGCCTTCCGACTGGAAAACGATTTACCCGCCTTACTGCGATAAGATTATTTTCAACTGGAATAGCTATATGAAAGTACGAACATTTGTATAAGAATGTTAAGATATTAAGTGACAGTAAAGCCTATGAGGTCTTCTGGAAAGCGCGCTTATACAAAAATCGAACGGCGATAGAAAAATCAAAATATAAGTAAAGCGGAAGAGGAAATTTAAAAGCAAATATAAAAGATGGATTGCGGCGGAGTATTTGTGAAATATGTGCTTTTCTTATTCAACATACTCTTTGTAGTAAGTATAAAAAATGGCAATGGAAAATTGTGTAGTGCAAAAAAGGTTTTATAGATATAACGAGTGAAAACAAAGGAGAAATGAAATAAAGTACAGATAAAAAGTTATTATTTGTTAAATGGCGAGGTACACATTACATACATACATATGTATGACTGCGAATTATTGCGCAATGAATCATGTTTCTCAGACTGTATTGTATTGAAATTTGTTGAAATTTTTATCGAAACCATTGGCACCATCACTTGCGTTTGGTACATTTTACGGCAGTGATTAACCTAAAAAGGTATGATTAATGTTTGCAGTTCTAAAACTACAAGGCTACAAACATGTTTCTTTAGAAAAGTAAATTAGAAAATCGTAGACTCTTATCTGTATAAAAATAAATCTGACAAGTTTTATCGATAGTAAAGCGCTTCTATCTTATCATAAATGCCGACAAATTTACATTGAAATTAATTGACTGTTTTTTTTTTTGGTAAGTGCATTTTATTATGTACATACTAGGGAGGTTATCACAATCCCGGTATTCCGGGATTAGCCCCGGGGTTTAGATATTCATTATTTTTCAACAACTTAAATCGAAAAAATTGCTTCTATCTTTCCTACCATAAAATAAATAATAAATAAAAGGCTTTTTTATTTAAAGGGCGTTTTGTTTTTTCTCTCTGACATCAGGATATATTTAAAAGGACCTTGTAATTTCAAAGATATGATTAATTCGAAAAATTATTTAAAAAATTTAATGCAATGTAGAATAAAAATATGGGTACCAAATGAAAGATGAAATTTCTTTAGAATTTAAAAAATTAACATTTTTGGATACAGTAGGACGAATAGGTAAAGTTAGAAGGATGAAATTCGAGGATGTTATCGAGTTTATATAAGTCTTTAACATTTTTTTTTTCAAATATTTCGAAATTTCAAGTATAAAATTTTAAAACCTCATTTTCAATACTTACTAGTCCTTATATACCAAAATTATTGAATCTGATTAAATTCTACAGAACTTCCTCTTTCATTTGATACCCATACTTCTTCTCTAAGCACATTTTACCTAATTTTTTAAATCATTTTTGTAATTATGACGTCAGAGTGAAAAACTAAAAAAGCAATTTTACTATATTTGGCCCATGGTTTTGCGAATATATTGTTTTTTTGTGTGTAAAATTTACTATCGCGCGGTATTATATGTATAATGAGCTAGACATTTATAAAAAAATGTTAATTATTAAATAAAAAATGGAAATATAGCCAATACTTGTCAAGAAAATGAAGTTTCTATTATTGCCATCAGATTACATATCCCGAAAGTCCCAGGATTACTTGCCAAGAATCCCGGAATTTTCGAGACCTTACAAAGTCCGGGATCCCGGGATTAACATTCCTAGTACATACGTATGTAGGTACAATAACAAAATAATATAAAAGAGTTGTACTTGGTACTAAGGATATGTAAATATGGTGTTTTTTCTATTGCAAACACTATATATTTTTTATTGTATCAGGGTGTAAAAATGTTGTATTTATGTATGTGTACCAGTACTTAAGTAAAAGTGCTCAAAAGCCGAGAAGTTTTCAAATGATGAGTCTTAAGAGCAAAATAAACCATACTAGTGGCTTGACAAACCAAGCGAAATTAACCTTGCTCCAAGCCATTTGAGGGTAGTTCGAATAAGACGCAAAACTTTTTGATTTTCTGGCCGCCATGTTGAAGTTTCCTTCGCAAATGGCGATGGCAGCGATTAATCATTTGATTAAATTAATCGATTATTTTTCTTCAATTTATGATTTAATTATATCGTAGTTTCGTGTTTCATTAATCGATTATTAATCGACTAATTGTAAAATAATCGTAAAAATATTTTCAAGAAATATGAATTCTGAAGTTTCCTAAAATCTATCCATCGAACATTCTTTTTTGCAAACTGCATCAACTTTACTCGACCCGACGTTCAAAAAAAATTTATTTAAAATACCCATTAGAATTGGCCTCAGAAATTAAGTTCTTGCGAAATGAAATAATGTTCGCAGATGATCATATGGAAACGGGTGTCACAAGAATCAATAGAAAATGACTTCATCCAGAGCATATCAAACAGGTAGTAGCATTCGAGCAAAAGGCAACATTTTCGTGTATTTTGTTATTGCTTCTGGTATCGAAAGTGTAAAAAACTGTTCTGATTTTTTTTTTCTAAATCAAACAATTTAGAATTTTTGTGAGAAGAAATTTCAAAATATTTGACATTTTCGAGACCAAATAATTAAAAAAAATCAAATCAGCTGCTCTACTGATACTACCTGTTCAATGTGCCTCGAGTTCATCTTTGGGCCCCTCTTGTACACAATCGAGGGCGAAAAGATGATGATTTGGGTCACCCAAAAGATGAAACGACTTTTTATTTAAATTGTAAAGTCCTAGAACTAAAGCGGAATATCATCGACGCTTAGGTGCCTGCTGAGCGCCTTTTTTCAAAAGCTACACTGCTACACTGAGTGAAAAAAGTAAAAAAAAAAAAACGTATTTTATCTTACTAAGAGCGTCAATAAAAGTACCGTATAGTTACGGTGACCATTCGTACCCATATGACGGGACAATACCGATTTTTACAAAATTGTTGCGCTGAATATTTTTAAAAGTCGGGACGTATAAATGTCCCGATTTTTCATACATATTTGTACCGCTAAATCCCGATTTTCAGTGTTTTTTTTTTATTAAGTTACCTGTACTTTGGCCCAAAAACAATTTTTCGTACAATCGTGGCAGCACCTTCGCTATCACAACCAATAGCCGTGTTTTATTTGTCCAGAAATTTTAGCTATTAGCTTATTCTGTATGGAAGACTTATCCAACGTAATTATATTGGCCTATGAAAAGCTATATTGGCTTGCATATGGGTGTTTCCAGCGGAAGGTCCACCACGACAAAAAATAAAAGTTTTATATCTAACGTATTTACGGGATTTGTCTGCTTTTTAAAATATATACTGGCTATGTAAGTAGAATCATCATTGCATAAAATGGTCTTCCTCGGTGGTGCCAAGGTCGAGATATTTCGAAAAACCGTATTTATGGTCTGATTTGGTTCGAATTTGGCGTATGTGGTTGAAACATAATAAATCATAGATTTCTAATAAATTGACCCTGAATTGGCGCTGAAGGCAAAATATAAAGTATATTCTACATAAAATACATGTTTTATTTGCGTTGAAAATTCATTTAAAAGCAATATTAACAAAAATATAACGATGGAAATTTATGTCACGTCACGCCACGTCACGTCACGTTTCACACTTGGGGTTGTAAAAGAGAATTGAAACAATTTGCATTAATTCAAAAAACTCTAAAAACAACTAGAATTGCTCCAAATCATATTAAAATAAGTTTCATGAAAATAGCCATCCACAATTCGCAGAGTTTTGCGATTTTGTAAGAAAAGAAAAAATCAACTTCCATTTTTTGTCACGTAACGACACTCTCTTTAAATGCTTATATTTCAGGACCAAGCAGTTCGATTGATTTCATTTTTCGGTTAAATATAGAGCTAATTATGTGCTATACAATGGCCCAAAAAAGTTAAAGAAAACAAATGGTATTCCTTTTTTGTATCACATTGAAATCGTACGACTGTCACGTGCGCCACCATGGGAATGCCCATATTAGAGTTGTAAAACTATCGATAGTTATCCCATTCGATGTTTTCGATAGTTTGCATTGAAACTATCGATGCTATCGATAGTATCGGATAATTTTAAAATGCAAAGAAAAATTTTAAATTTCCGAATATATTTAATTTTTTTTTTTTCAAAAAAAAACAAGGTTTTTATAGTTATAGGGACTCCAATGCCTGCCAGCGCATCCGCCCAGCACACCCAAGTTGGAGCGACCATTACCCGGAGCTGAAGTAAAGAATGTCACAAATATGGATCATACACTCACAAAATAGTAATTGCTATGAACTGCTACTGTATAAATTCAGGACATGCATTTGCTTGGAGACTCCGTTGGTTGCGGTGATCATAAGTTCAGCCAGCACATTCAATCGTCCATTACCCGGAGCTGTTCCTACATGATGAGTCGATTTTAGGTAGCCCCACATGCTACTGCCTCTGGCTACAAACACGATACCTGAATTTCAGAAAATAAATAGCAATTATCTATTAAAACTACAAGAAAAGTGCTTGTTTACAAAATCACCTGCTCTTCTCGCAATTTTTAAGAAAAATAAAAGTTCACCACTCGAAGAATTGTTAAAGAATGTGAACCGGAGCTGCATTTTACGTAAAGTTACTAGCGGTTTCAGCGTTTAACAGTTCATTATCATTTACAGTGTAATAAAACAAGTTATACACTGAACGATGGTAATCTGTATTAGTATCTATAATAATAGACAATAATTTGCATTTTTTTTACACTTTTGTAATTAATTTCGGTCACTATTACACAGTCATGACTCATGACTTGTGCCACTCTGCCATAGTACGGTTTTTGCACCCTTTCATACCACAGTACAAAATTTTGTATACAACTCGGAACCAAAAAAATTCATGCTCCTTCTCAATATCAACCCTGATCAGATTTTACCCCCCGAGGAGTACTCAAAATGGTTTATTACTGTGACATGTACTACCCTGCTGGAAATGTATCTAACTATAAGTTAACTTTAAGTTGATTAGGAAGAAACTAAAGGTCACTATTATCTGTATATTTTCTTTGAGGAAAGCTAACTATATTTCTATGCCGATGGCCGCGAAATAGTCAACGGTGGTTACCTCTGCATTAGATGTAGTCAAGGTGTTTACCTCTACATTAGATGTCATATTTTTTTTTTTACTTTTTTATTTATTTACTTTATTTTATTACATTTCATATCGCACGTTTAATAATATAAAGATGTAACTCAAAATTTACGTTTATGGAGAGCTCGGTATGCAATTAATAAGCTTGATTAGTAGAATATGGTCAGTATACCTGATAACCAATGTGCCCAAATATAGCGAAGATATGTTTCTTTCCATGTGTCTTTTTGTATATCAACTGTATGAATTGATTAAACTTTGATAGCGTTTTATGACAAAATTGAAACTTTGAAATACTTCGTTATATTATTAAACGTGCGATATATGTTTACATATTCTGCTGTAGGTGGTCCCATATTCGAACTACGTCACACATAACTTGAAATTGATAATATAAAATATCGATCTCCTTTTATTTGTTCTGAATTCGAGAATGTATTTGTGAAGTGCAGAAAAAAGTGTATTCAAAGTAAAATTTGTATGAGGATATTTAAATAGAAACTTGTTTAATGCAAACAATCTCCCGATAACGTCTGCATTACTTTTCAACTAGTTTGAAGTTAGCTTTTTACAGAAATCGCCCAAAAGAGCTATTGGTTATTTTTATCATTTGATAAATGGTTTCTGCAGGGTATGTACATAAGTATGTGTGTATCTGTTAGCACAATTGTATACTCAAATACATACATACGTGCGTGCTAAATTTTTGGTGTGACAGTATTAATTTTAAATGCGAACATTTTTAAACGATAATCAAATAAGAAGTATTAATTTTTACTATGCGTTATTTCCTTCAGTGTTAAATTACGAAGTTTTTATGGAAAAGTGTTTTTGTGAATATTCACTATAAAAAAATACCTTTAAAAATTCGATTAACCTATTATAGGTGCGAAATGTCATCTGTTCGCTCACAAGAGAGAAATATCCAAAATAGTACGCGAACAGAAAATTTGCAGAAACTTGCAAGTTAGACAAACAGCTGATATAATTTTTGTTTACATTCAAAAGTGTAAAATTTAAAACGTACGAAAAGTCATCGCAAAGTGTTATACTGACACAGTTTATTGATTAAACAAATAACTACTTATTTCTTACAAGTTTAATTAGTCGCATTTTGTAATTTTTAACTTCCAAACCATCAAATTCAATTTTGTGATTTGCGTAAATGCCAACCAGCTGTTTTTGATCAGCTGTTTTCCTGTTGGCAAATTGCTGTTGGCAAAAATTTTTCCAGCAGAAACCAGCAGCTTCCCCTCAAAATGAAATGTCACTTTGCTCTCTCAATTTCCCCTACTTTGCAAGTTTTTTGCGTACGCGAACGCAAAAACTTGTAAGTTTTGGTTAAACATGAACAATTAACAGCTACGCGAACGAACCTTATATCTCAATAATTGTAATTTGTTTTTTTTGCTTGTGATTAATCATATGATTAATTAATCGATTTTTTTTTCTTTTTTGCTATCCCTATTCGCAACAAAATTTTCATTAAAAATATTCACGGTTTGAACGAGAATTCTTTTATGGTATTTGGCGAAATGAAATACATAAGTAGGTTTGAAAGGCGCTTGTGCTTTGACAAGTATGGGCCGTTTTTACAGTGACGAGTTAACTTTCATTCGGCAGTTAACTATAGGTTTTCAGTACAAAAATTTAAAGTTAACTGCCGAACTGTGAAAAGGCACTATGAGATTAATAAAATTTCACTAGTTCATGAGGCATGAGGCAAAAAGCATTTATACTTTTCATTGATAAATTTTCACTCTCGTTCTTCTATTTTCAATAGGTATGTGGCATCTTGCTTATTGTCTTCGGTTCCATATTAGTGTCGCATATACAGCAAGTGGGAAGCTTGGCGCAAACATTTGAGGCCAATAGCATTCCAATTGCCATACTTGTGCTGGGATGTGTGATTTTTATTATCTCATTCTTGGGATGTTGTGGAGCAATACGCGAGGAAACATGTTGCACATTGACGGTAAATTTGGACTAACGAATAACCATAATTTAAACTTGAAAGATATATAAATTTGTACTCACATCGCTATGGATTTGTAAAAATCTCTTTTCAGTACTCAGTCTTTATGCTAGTACTCTTCCTGGCTCAGGTCGCTTTAATTGTGCTTGTGTGGACGCAGCATACCAAGTTCCTCAATTATATGAACCAAATTGTGGCTACGATATGGAAGCAACACACAACAGATCCGAAAGTAATGGACGCCTTGCAATTGACGGTAAGTTTTTGACACTCTATCCACTATGAGAGTTATACTTCAATTTGTTCATCCGTCCTGTTTAGTTCGATTGCTGTGGCCAAAATGGTTCAACCGATTATACTTTCAATCTGGAGTCGATTCCAAATTCATGCTGCGGTGCAAATGCCATTTCTTGTAACATGGTGGAAGCAATGAAAAAACCGGGCTGTGCGCAAGCATTCACTTCCTTCTGGGATAAAAGCTTAAATATAGTGCGTTATGCTGGACTTGGTGTTGCTGCTGTTGAGGTAGGTCTTTAGCAGAAACTTTTTTTAAATTTATAAATTGTTTAACTTCTGGAAATCACACGTTTTATTTTAATTTCTTTAGTTGGTTGCATTCATTTTCGCATGCTGCCTAGCGAATCAAGTGCGCAATGAACGTAGAAGAGCGAACTATTAAAATTCAAAATGGTTGACAATCAAAGTCTTCAATTCGCAATACGAAATGCTGTCTGCTGTTTGCTACTCATAACAATATCACAATTCAAAGTTTAAGAATCGAATGATTTTCTTCCATGTAGTATGTTTCTTCTTGCAAAACTAGTTTTATTTATTATCACTTGTAAAATTTCGATATCTAACACAACGACCAAATAAAAATCAAGAATTTCCTCGGAAGCGGATGTTGTACCAGACTCTAGTGTACACCATGATTAACATCATTGCTTGGCAGCACTTTTGTTCTTGCTTTCAGCAATTGCTGGCATTCTTGATATTGCTTGCCAGTGTTGCCAGTTTACCATTTTTGAGGCTATATCTAGCTTTCTTCTTTGTCGTTTAGCTTCGAAATTTAGGATTTAGCTTCGTGGCTTTTTTCTAGTTTTTTCTTTTTTTCAAACTAGCATTTTTTTAAGCCAATCCTCCACAATATTTGTAATAGCACTAAATTATTGTTCCGGTGCAGTTTTACTTGACGAAATGTTAGGCGAATATCGCCCGGCGGCATCGCTCAGTCCGCCGAAATTTACTCAGCGAACTCGTTCAGTCTATATTTTAATAGTTTTTTCAGGGGCTCTCAAGTGTCCCTATAAAACCAGGAAACGCATGTTATAGAATTCCGCACCCCACGGGAATGACGTCAAGCACTACATCGTGAGGAAGAAAGGTAGTTAGTATCCGCTGTTATGCCGCAGCCATTCGAGGGTCCTTAGACCCTTCATCGACTCTGTTATTGTGTCACATGTTGCCCACTATTTTTCGCTGTTTTGTAGCATAGCGTCCACGTCTGATTCAAGCGTGAAAATCTCTTTGCATCTGGTACTGTCAAATCGCATACACTCAAAAAAGACGTCTTCTATTATATCTCCTCCACAGTATTCGCATATGGGTTCCGATTCGTGTTTGAATCGGTAAAGGTATACGTTGAAGCACTAGTGTCGAGTTAAACATTTTGTCAAATAGAAATCGACTTCGCCGTTTAGTCTGCTTCATTTCCGTATATGGTTTGCTCTTCACTATGCGCGCTCCAATTGAAACATTCACGATTGTAATCGTAGTGTTATGTATGAAGATATTTGGCGGTACAAATGTAACACTACTTTGTCATAATGACTATGGGTTTTCAGACCCTAAAAAAGAGTTAGTGAAATGTTTAAAAGGCTGGCCTTTTTTCAACCTTATGTTTTGGGCCACTTAGCTTGTTTTAGCATTTGTAATTGGCTTATCTAGCATTTACATTTGAAAATCCCGGGAACACTGTTTCTTGCCCCGTACATATTTAGTCTGTTCCAATAGCAGTCCGGTTTACAGCAATTAGTCAGAACTTACAGGAAGTCGTTCCTATTGACTCTGTTCCAATAGCAGTCCGGTTTACAAGATTTAGTCAGAACTTACAGGAAGTCGTTCCTATTGACATAAAACCTGTAAGTGGGAACACATTTGAGAGAGTAACTGAGCAACTGTTCCTAGTCAGAAGTTACAGGATTTAGTCCGGAGTTTTTTTTCCTGTAAGTTCATGAAAAGTGTCAAACGATCAGCTGATTTACATGTGCAAACAAAAACAGAAAGCGGTGAAAGCAAAGAAGCTTATATTTGTTAAAAAATGGAAGTAAACAACGAAATATTTGAATATGTATAGATTTTAATAATTATTTAGTGATATTTCAGCCAAATCAGTGTAGTACCAATGACATGTAAACAAACCGTCTGACGTTTTTACAGGAAATAGTGCTTTTTGCGTTCCTATGGACTTCTGCATCTGTTCTCCTTTTACTCTCATTTGAGAGCGTAAAATGGTAGTTTGACAGTTCCACAGGTTTTAGTCCGAAGTTCAAAGGAACAGACTAATTGACATAAAGTCTGTAAGTGGGAACACTTTTGAGAGAGTAACTCAGCAACTGTTCCTATTCAGAAGTTACAGGATTTAGTCCAGAGTTTTTTTCCCTGTAAGTTCACAATCAGCTGCATGTCCAAACAAAAACAGAAAAATTTGAAAGCAAAGAACCTCATATTTGTAAAACAATGGAAGTAAACAACGAACTATTTGAATATATATAGATTTGAATAATTATTTAGTGATATTTCAGCCAAATGAGTGTTGTACCAATGACATGTAAGCAAACTTACTGACGTTTTTACAGAAAATAGTGCTTTTTTAGTTCCCGTACACTTCTGCATCTGTTCTCCTTTTACACTCACTTGAGAGAGTAAAATTGTAGTTCGACAGTTCCACAGGTTTTAGTCCGAAGTTCAAAGGAACAGACTAATTAGTTGCATTCCCAAACTCGCAATAAGTTGCAAGAATTTACAGGATTTTACAGAAAACGTTCCTGTACTCGGTTCACTGGCAAAGTAGGGGAAAAAAGTGAGAGTAAAATCGTTCCTCTCTTTGTCAGAAGTTGCAAGATTTTACCTGAAGAACTTTTACTGGTAAAATCTGGTAGTGTCAAACCATCAGCTGTTCAAACCATTTGAAAGTTGAATAAGAAAAAAAGGGCATCTGCATTGCAAAGAACTATCAAGTAAAGCGAAGAAAGTTGTATTTGAATCAGCCTTTACTGCCAATATAGGAGTATTACATATATGTTTCAAACATAGTTTAAAAATTTAGCAAAAAGCAAAGTTCTGATTTCTATTAAACATATTTTTTTTTAATTACTATTAGATATATAGTAAGCCATGGGCGTCGCCAAGATCGGATTTGGGGGGGCGAAGGGGCCGACATATAAAAAAATCCCAACATTTTTATCTTTAGGTTAGCCTGAAATATATGTGGTTGTCGTTGTTGCAATCTAAAATCGCCAGCAACTTTTTAGCTTTTTCCATATTTAATTTACATGAGTGCCCCTGTTTCAATCACATTTAATGATTGACGGTTCAGCTTGTGCTGGCATGATTGTAGTTGTTTCGAGTTGATGTAAAGTATCCGGCTGAACTGAGTACCGAACTTCCTACAAATTACAAAATTAATATCGGAAACAAGCCGAAAACAATACACTTTTAAGTAAGATCACAAAGACCCGTTAATTTTAATAAAGCTTCGAATCTGCTTTAGAACCAGGGCCGAACAAGATTTTATTTGAAAAAATACACGTAATGGTGGATCAGTGCATATTCCGTATAAGTAACGGTTATTCATTACCTTTATCGCTCCTACATGCATCTCTAGTTGTCAAAAACTGTCGTATTTGCAATCGGTAGAAGAGAAGTGAGTTTTCGCCCAGCCACTTTGGGATTTTTAATTTATTTTCCATAATTTTTTAGAAATCAAAATGGCATTTGGCGATTATCCAGCGGAATATAACCCAAAGGTTCATGGACCATACGATCCAGCACGTTACTATGGCAAAGGTTTGTAAAAAAATATAGACGACAATGCCGACAACCATCCCATATTATGTAATGACGTTGGCCATATGAATTTAATATTCAACATGTTTCAATAATTTATGATACGTGCCATGGATGCGTGCTATCTATTAATAAAGAATATTTATTTACAGCTGATGTACCATTCGGCCAGGTTAAGGTTGGTGAAATTGGCGCATGGTTGAGCCGTCGGAACAAGTCACCCCAAGCTATCGCAGGTGCTTTCAGCCGTGCCTGGTGGCGCTGGCAGCACAAGTATGTGCAGCCAAAGCGTGCTGGTGTTGCACCATTTTTCCAAATTACTTTGGCTGCCATGACTTTCTTCTATGCTATCAACTACGGCAAGATGCGCCACCACAGAAACTACAAATACCATTAAACTATTTAAGTCATTGGATCATTCTCAGTCGCCGGAGACCCTATATTTAGTAGTCACTCGTAGCATGGCTCGAGGGTCAAGCAATGGAACAATAAATAAATGAAATATATTATTTGTGTTAAGCATTTTACCATACTACTGATCATACTGAAATTCCGAAATGAAAGGAAAATATACCACGAAATTATCCAATGCATGAATTTATCAGCCGCATTTCATAAATCTGGGTTTCAAGTTGCATCTGTATGAAACTTCAGCATCTTTTATTTCTAAACTATAATTGATGGAAAAGCGCCATTCCCCCCACAAAGTTCCAATTGGGCATTTGAACGTGGTTGCGCATGTTGAACATTTCCATCAGTTGTACCAGTTTAAGAATAAGCGATGCTTATCTTTATTGCAACTTGGAACTTAGCCATACTAAAGACCACTTTAAAATTAGATCAAGTAAACTGTGTTTATATTGAACAGCTGGCTGACATTTGATTGGCTAATCTTTGTATAAACCAGCCAGCTGGAGCGTTAAAAAAAAAGAAGAAATTGCGGCGATTTTTTTTTTGTATAAATCAATTCGTATAGTACTCACGTCCAATTAATGAATATTTTTTCTTCATCATTACCCTGCAAACCTTTTTTGCAGAGTATTCTGAATTGTAGAAAAATTGTATAGCATTCGTAAAGATCTCTTCCCATTTTGTGCCGAATGTAAAAGAAATAACTCGGTAGATAATGTCAGAGTTAAAGCCATTTCGAAAGGCCTGCCTGAGAGTCAAGTGGCCTCCACTCTACATTTCTTTGTTATTTGTAAGGAGTGGCACAAATTGAAGGGCTTCTTACGTTTTTATAGGATGTGTGTAGTTCAGAAGGCCTTTTGGGGGAGTTCTTTTAAAGTTTCTTCTTTGATTTATAGAAATCATACATATTTGAACTATTTGCTTAAGGTTTACATGTATCAAATATGTGTTATTGCTACTTCAAATGTTTATTGGAATTCATTTGTGATGCTAAATAATGTAAATTTATGCATTCGCATAAATTGTAAATCGATAAGCCCTTCCAGAAGGCATGCAAGGAAGCACTTTTCAGCCCTTCTTCGGTAGACCTCTTAAAACGTTTTCACTTAAGAAGGCCTACCTAAATTATCTTCTGGGAAACTGTGCACACTGCGATTGTTTTACGAAATTTCGGAAGAAAATTGGTAAAGCAATGAAAATAATGCTGCTATGTGAAGAATTTCTTGTAGAATTTTTCAGATTTTTCTTTATTTTTCGTACAGAAGTTGACTTGATAAAAACATAACAAGGTAAACCCTGCAAAAATCGCGACTACTCCATGCATGCATGTAAAGAGTACTCCCGAAGGACCAAGGAGTACTCCAAAATTAACCACAATTCATATAAAAAATATGGTCCAATTAACATTGCGATGTCCTAGGGCAGGACCATATAC